ATAAGGCAGCAGAGCCTTGGCAGGAGAAAAGGTAGCTACTGTTTCCGCAGCCGCCTCCGGCCAAAGGCGCCGTCCACCCCCACGGTCCAGCGCAGTGACAGGCCAAGCAGCCTCTCCAAGAGGCATGACGGGAAATTCCTTGGGCAGCAGCTGCTCAGTCAGCTCCAAATATGAGCATAGAGCCGAAACAGACCGCAACCATTCCCAAAACGGGGGCCGAAGGACCGATTGCTCGCATTTCCAGGGCTTTACGAGTCCATCTAGGCCAGCAAAACTTCACCTCCCGCTTTCCCTTGCCCTGAGTTTCTGACATTTAGAGCCCATATTTGTATAAAACTTTAGTGGAATCAATTATTTTTTCCCCATAAGCTTGGTCCAAATATGATTCCATCTGAATATAACCCGTAAACTCCTAATACTTTGCCAAAATCTGACCAAGGTCCATTAAATCCAGAGATGTTTCCAATTCAGTGGAAAGTCACAGGAAGCAATAATTACATCTTAGCCTAGTATGACTGAGTTTACCCAGCGCAGGTGGCCATGGCTAATCTTAACCATAGTTTTGCAGATTCTTCTAACAGTCATAAACCATAACATGGTTGGCTGGTTTGTGGTTATCATGCAAAAGACTTTAAAGTCATAAACACCTAATCTTTTAAAAGCATGAGCTTCTGCATATTGAAGTATTTAATTTTAATTAAGTTCAAATTAAACCAATTTTCCCCCCATCCTAACACTCTTCTTGGAGTCATCTCCCAGCATATCACTGGAGGTTAACCTGCAATCCTGCCCAAACCCACTCATATATGCCTAGTCTAAAACAAAGTAGAAAGTCTCAATTTCCTGAAGTTTTTTTCACAATATCTAAGTGCTTTGTCGTCTTCTGGTATGTTTTTTTCAACTTTCCAGTCTAGCATTCAGCCCTGGGATTTCCTAGTAGCCTCTCATCAAGTCCCTACCCTTCCCACATGTCCCTACACTTCCAACATCTAGCTTTTTTGATAACAACCAAGGTCAGCTAAATGCTGCCACCTACTGTAGAACCGCAAAATAAGCCGATCTTCATTGGAGTTCTATCACTGAGTGCTATAGATAAAATCTTATAAAATGGCAACACCTCTTGGATCTAGCCACTCTAGATGGCTACAGGGTCTCCAACAATACATTCATATGGAAGAAATGGTCCTTCAGATATTCTAGTTCCAGACCATTTAAGGATTTTTGGTTGATTACCAAATTTGAGTTCAGCTCAGAAACAAATGGAAAGCCTGGTGTCCAGGAAATGATTCAGCAGTTGGAATTTCTTTGGCAATTGCTGAAAAAGAGAATGGGCTCTCAATCCCTATCAACACAACTCAATCTTAGAAGTCCAATTAAGCTCCTACAACAGCTCACATAGATGCTGAAGACTAGTGAATTTCCTGACGGTTCAATCTTGCTTCCTAAGATTATAGCATAGGTCTCCAGAGCCACCTGTCCAATTCTCATTATAAAGCAACTACTAAAGTTCAAAAGCAAAATCAGATCTGAAACCAGTTTGAAAGACTGTTACTGTGGACGTCTTTAAAATGACCTCTCATAAGTATATAATATATAACTTTAACTTTCACCATCCAATTCACAGTCTATTTCTATCAACTTTTATAAACCTGATTGGACTTGTATCCAAGAAGTCAGTTACATCATCCTTTCAACTTATTTGTCCACATCCTCCATTAATATAAACTTAGATGTAGGAAATCTAGAAAAAAATCTGCTATTGAAGAGTATTTCATATAAGGAATTCCAATATTAGCATAGATAGAAATCTTCTATCTTGCAATTATATTTTTACATGTAAAAATTACACTAATTTCTGCTAATGCAAATAGTTTAATGTGATCCTAAAAGATATCAACCCACGTTTCTCTCACATTATCCTACTTTTCAGAACAGTCTGCTAGCAATCAGTAGAAGATATAAAAACAGAGAAGTTGTTCACACTTAAAACACTCATGGATAAATCGTAATTGTGGTTTTGTGTGTAACAATCAGCCAACTTTCCTGTGCTTCCAAACCAGTGAAAAGTTGAAGAAAACTATATTAACTATTATTGTCCCCAGATGTTTAAAGACCTAAAGAACTGACACGTGTGTAAAAAGCCCTAATAAATCTTTAATTGGTTTTGCTTTGCTTTTGTGTTTTTACAGGACAAATTACAAACATCTGATTTTCTCAAGTGTCCAAGGTATTATACACATTCCCATCTGTCTTGCAGGGAGAAAAATTGGTCAACATTTTAATGGTAAAATAGGCTACATAATGGTACAGTTTACTATAATAAATGTACAGGGTTTACACATAGTTTAGAAGCAAGAAAGATGCATCTGCATCAAAAGGCAACTTTTTAAACTGCCACAATTTAATTTTACATTCACACTTGCAATAGGTCACAAAATGGTTACTAAGATCAGAACAATAAATCACTATGATGCACAAATACAGCAAAACCTGATTATATACACATAAATACATATACATGTATATTGTACATATTTGTATATGTATATAGTAAATTTCATGAAAAATCTAACAGACCTGTCAAAATCTACTCTCTTGTCAAAAATATGTACTTGTTCTTTGAGAGCAGAACTTTGCGTGGTCGATTATATTACATATATTTGTTAGCATCCCAGACATAAACCAACTAAGTTTTTTTCCAGATAAGAAACGGTCCATTATTAAATATGTTGCCCACAAAAAAAGCACAAAGATAAGGCACAATAGGATTTTTCATTACACAAATGTGTGTCATGTTCATTTATCCATAAGAAAACGTGCATTATTTGTGCAAGTTCATGCTGCAGGGTCATATCTACAATAAAAACTGGGCTATAATATATGTTTTTTTAAAAAATTGATTTCCCAACCCTTCACCTATATAATATTCAACTGGATCAACACATTATGTTGCTTCAACAGGAATTACCATATCAAATTACTTTATATTTTCAGGTTATGTTCCACAAGTTTTATAATTTTAGGTGTAAACAATGCACACATTTAATATAGAACATACAAAACTCTTTAGGTACTGCATTTCTACACTCTATCAAGATTTTACTTCCAATATATGTGCATTTTTTTTTCTTCTGTGCACGTTTAGGTAGCAAATTTTAAAGGAAAATATATTCCCCACTAATACATTGTAAGAGGTTTTCTTTTGTAGTAAATAACTTTTCACAAAGTGAGTACCTGCCAATTACTTCTTTATTGCTCACATAATTTTGAATCCATTATCACAGTAACAATATTAGACCATTCACACAGAAATCATAACCATATATTTTAATATAAAACCTACAAAAGATATTTAACTTGTATCTAATACTTCAAGGTATTTGGCCCTTAGATAATAATACAGCCAAATTAAATAAAACATTGGTTATGAATAAAATAGGAAGCTTATTCACTGCTTTAAAGCAGACACTCTCACAAAACAAGATTACTTTGCTGGCGCTGCCACCACCAATATTTATATACAAAACCAGCACATCTGCATACAGTTGGTTTCTGCTCCAAAACTACTAAAGCCAGTATCTTTCCCATCCCCAGGCTGACACAAATGAAGCTTTACAGCAACAAAAACTGAAGACCAGACAGAAATTAACACATCTATTCATCTTCCATCAGAAATTGTAGGTGGTTTTTGTTACAAAATACCCACAAGATTATTTCACAGAAAACTATGGAAATACAGTACATCTCCATGCTTTTGGACTGTTATCAAACACTTGTTGGTGCAAAAATTCAGCCACATCTGAGAATGTTTAATAAATTCATCATTTGTCATGCAAAACATAATATGTTGATTTGCTTGAGCTCCAAAACATTTTATAGCCAATATTCTTTTAATTCAGTACTACTCATTGCTCAGACATTCTAAAAAATGAGACTGAAAAATGATTAATGTAAATGTTAACATACAAAAAGTACTAAAAGTGGAAGACAAGGCCAGACAGGAAATGCTCCTGCTGCAGGTCAACAGTTCTAGTAGCAGTAAGTGTCTCAGGAGTTTCCCTGGATGTTGGCTGTGCCTGTCCGGAGACGAAGATGAGACATTGAGTTCATATGTGCATTTGATGGCTTCAGAGGAGCGCTGCAAGCAATAGCCTGTGGAAAACGATGATGATACCGATCTAACCGTAGATATTTTACTGTTACCAATTTGCCTGTAGTAAAGTATAGTTTAAAACAATATTATCATTTAAAAATATAATATAAATAAAAGTAATTTTACAAGCATTATAAAAATACCTTCACCTGCAATATTTTATCTAAAAATTACTCATGCTTCCTACTTAATTATTTGTTAGGAAAACTTCTTACCATCAAACCAAGATCCATGTAATGCTTTAAAAGCTTTTCCAGCATATTCTGGAGACAAACACTTGACATATACACAACCCTGGATGGAAAAATAAAATTTTGGTTGACATCCAACAAAGAAATTGAATATATGAATTAACTATCTTAAATCACTTTTTACCTCACGTGAATTTTTGTCCACTGCTATGTGAACTATTCCCTCATTATCACTGCACTTTTCCAAGATTGCTTCTTGAATAGCCAAATGCCAGTGATCACCGATTTCCCTAAAAACACATGACACATAAAAGTTGTTTATTAATGCTTGTATTTTAGTTTGTTCAAATATTACAGAAAACTAAAATAAAAATCAACAGGTAGCAATTAAACAGGTGTTTAGGTACAGTGGCATTCAAAAATAGCCTTCACATAGATCTGCAGCATTTAATAAGCAATATTAAGAAGAGGGGATACAGAGCCCCCAAGTTCCAATTTCCTTAGAACACAAAATATTTTAGATAAATTTCCATTAATGCCTCTTCAGATAAGAAATAAGTTTTTGATCTCAAGCAAGCAAGATAAAAATCTTCAGCTCTAAAAGGTAAAAAGAGCATTTCTTTTTATGTCCTGTATTACAAAGTACTATTCACCAAGAACTTTACAAAACTTATCTAAAACTGCATCTACATCCAACTTTACAGTATTCTCTTCACATAAGCCAAATAAGCAATTTGAGGTCAGCAATTAAAATATCACTTCTATGATGGTACATGCCCCAAAGTACCATAACTTCCAGGGTTCAGATGCTGATATTCGTTATCAAGATAAGCC